CGTGACCCCATGTACCATATTGCGCCAGGTCTTCCTGTCCTTCACTGCCTCCCGGCGTTAGCTCACTTCCATGCTCATTGCTTCAGTGATGCTATCTAACCATCTCATCCTCTGCATGTATGACAAAACACACATCCTTTGTGTGTATGATAACACACACTTCTCCTTTTGCCTTCAATCTTTCCCAGCATCGGGGTCTTTGCCAAAGAGTCCTCTCTTCGCATTAGGTGACCAAAGTATCTGAGCTTGAGCTTCATTATCAATCCTTCCAATGAGCAATCAGGGTTGATTTCCTTTAAGATTGACTGGTTTGACCTCCTGGCAGTCCAGGGGACTCTTAAGAGTCTTCTCCAGCACCACAGTTCAAAGGCATCAATTCTTCGGCGCTCAGCCTTCTTTATGGTCCAGCTCTCACAGCCATACATTACTACTGGAGGCAATCTGTACTATAGTTAAATTCCTTTTACTGTTAGGAAGTAGCATGATACTGATACCTAACTGAAATATACTTCCTTGTCATTTAAATCCCTTGTTTATTATTCTCTCTTCTGGAACAGTTTGTCAACAACAGCAGCCCTTCTACATGACATCACTTCCAATAGTTGAAGACCGTTTTCATGTCTTCTCCCCTTCTTCCCTTCTCTAGGCTAAACATAGCTGAAGCCTCTACCCATTCCGCATAAGTTTTCCCTTCCGGGCCCTTTACCATCTTGTTAGCTTTCCTCTGGATATACTCCAGTTTCTCAATGTCCTTTCTAAAATGCAGTATCCAGAACTGATGCAATATTCTAGCTACAGTCTGACCAGTGCAAACAAGAAAGATGATGATTACTCTTGATCACTGTACTCCTCTTGATACAGCCTATGATTGCACTTGCTTTTTTTGTAACTGCTTCACACTATTGGCTCATGAGATGTTTGTGATCCAGCAAGACACCCTAACCTTTTTTGTATGTACTGCTGCCCGGTATGCACCTTCACAACTTATCCTATGTTTTTTCTTACCCAAATGTATTGGTTTGGCATGGCAGAAGGGTGACTTGAATATATTGGGATACATCCATCACTGCCTGGGCCACTACATTTGTACCAGCTGTACGTTCTGAGTGCTTCCCACAGGGAGCATGTAGACCACATTACAGTAATCCAGGCAGGAGCTACGAATCCAGGAGGACCTCCAAAATGCAAATAAAATCTGAACGAGGGAGTAGAACTCCATTCAGAGTCAAAGTTGTATTTCCCTGAAATCATTTGGCCCATAAACCCAAAGCCCTTCCAGTTTGGAGGGATTCCGTTTCAGTCTGTTTCTCCCCATCTAGTCCCTGACAGTCTCCATGCACTGGGTTAGCACTGCTACTGCATTACCTATCTGGCCTGGAGCTGAAATGACTTGCATTCCTCTAACTCTGATCTCTCCAAAGGTCTTCCACAAGTGATCAATGTAGTTTCCTAACCTGAAACCTGACTGCCAGGGGTCCAAATAATTTGCTTCTACTAGCGTCTTTTGGAGATGCAGGTTGACTACTTTTGCTATAACCTTTCCTAAAAAGGGAAGGTTGGAGATAAGTCTAAAAGTAGCCAAAATAATTGGGTTCAGTGAAGTCTTCTTGATCAGGAGGCATACCACAGCCTCCTTCAGAAATAATGGAAACACTCCCCACTCAAAGAAGCATTTATTTCAGCTTAAAATCTAACCTACCACCTCACAAGAGGCCATAACTAGCTATGAGGGGAGGGATCCACCTGAAAGGTGGCAGAGGTGACACTTGAGAGTGTCCTATTCATTTCCTCAGGACCCACAGATTGAGACTGACTCCAGATCACTCTTCAGATTGAAGCCCCAGTCATCTCCATTGGTATTGTCGAGTTAGAGTCCAACTCTGTTAGAATCTCAGCAGTTTTATTTGCTAAGTGTTGCAAGAGTTCTTCACAGGAGCCCTTCAGATATTTTTGGCAATTGTCTAAAATGGAACAAGTGCTGGGTAGCATTCATCAGACACAGTAAGAGTGGCAAAGTACTCTAGACATCTCCCTTGCCACTTTATCTCCCTGAGCTCCTCAGTAAACCAAGGGATTGCAGGGGGTCTGTGAGAGGAGAGAGGCTATTGCAGTGCAATCTGGTCAAGCACCCAAGTCACACCCTCATTTCAAGGAGTGACCAGGATCTCAACGAAACTGTTCACCAGATTCTTGGGAAACTCCCCAAGAGCCCCCTGAAAACCTATTGGATCTGTTAGGTGCCTGGGGCAAATGAATTGAATAGGTCCTTCCCCACTGTGGAAGGGTGTTGTACCATTAAACTCTACAGCAATCAGAGAGTGATCTGTCCGTGGAAAGAAGTTAAGCTTGATGCCACCACCTTCAGATCACACTGTATGTGGTCCGTAACAAAAAAACAAATCTAACGTTGCACCCTTGATAAGTTGAGTCAGGTCCATGGTTGTCATGGTGGCTGTGAACTCCTGGACTGCTTCAGACCGCTTGCTTGGGGAAAGCAAGTTGAAGTCCCCCAGCAGAATTTGGGGACTCCACCACCACTCTAGCCACAGATCGAGCAGCCCTGGCAGGGATGCCACTGTATAGCAGGGGAAGGAGTATACCAGTAGCAAGTCCAACTGCCCTTTTGGGCCTAACTGCACAAAGTCTCACTCTCTGGAGTAGCACCTCTTGTTGCCAGGAGAGTTTCATGGATGACAATCGCTGTCCCACATTCTCCTATCCTGGGATTGCAGTGGTGCCAAACCCAAAATCTGAGTGGGTAGAGCTCCAAGAGAGGAACTTCTCCCTCTTCCCCCACCCAGGTTTTGGTAATGTAAGCTAAGTCTACAATGTCTTCCTCTTCAGGGCAAAAGTAGATATTCTACCTTTGAGGGCCTGTAGTGTCATCTTCCTCAGTTCTTCACCCAGGGGTCCAGAAACATCACTGGCAGTGAAACCCCAGAGTCTGTTCTGAAACTACAGATTAGAAGAGCTTGCCTTGCCAGGCTTAAGCCTTTGTGTCACATTCTCCATCTTCTCTGCTTGGCTTCTTCAATCCTCTGAGAGACATCTTGGTGTTGTGATCCCTCCACAAGCACTGCCTGGGTCCAATTCTTCATCTTCCCTGATAAGCTGGAAGGTGGACAGATTTGCCTCAGGCTGTTTCATTTTCTCTTCCATGAGGGCAGTCAGCCTGCACTTGTAGCGTGTGTAGTTCTTCTGGTCTCCAGGCAGGAATCTTAAAACCCAGGCAAGTTTGCATGGGAGGAGACAGTGCTTCTGTTATTCTGGTCCTGAGTTCTTTAGGTTCTTTGTCTTATGCCATGTAGCCCCTTTCATCTGGGAATCACATGCTCTCTATGACAGAGTTTATATAGTGGGCTAAGTCGTGGTTCATTGGCTAGCAACACACAACATACTAAGCACATAATTCACAAACCACAATGAGGTTTACATCCTGGTTTAGGAAGTTGTGAAAATCCAGCCTATAAGTGGCTAATAGCCTGGAACTAGCTGAAGCATCACCAAACTCTTCAGTGAACGTGAACAAGTTTACCAATTATTATAGGTATGTTGTTCTGTTTCTAATAGGCCTCAAAGCAATACACGCAGATTTAGTGACAATTCACAGTCCATGACAGCAGTGTTTCTGAGATGAAGTGATTCCACCAGTTCCCACTAAAATCTGTCTCCTGTGAATTTTGACAGACCTTGTTTTGCAGACATCTTGTTTTCTTACAATAAGCAAACTTCCTGGACCTCAGGGCAAAGGTGTAATGCCCATCTCAGAGATGGGGAGTGAGGAATGACACTGTTGACTAGCCTGTTGGAAACTCAATGCTAAATGCTTTGCTTAGCCTGCTTTGTTTTATTCCATCCAGATGTGAGAACTGCATGTCACGTTTCCGGACACACCGCTCCCTCTTTAAGCACCTGCACAGCTGTTCTGATGCCATTACCACCACCACCTCTTCCCCAGCCCTAACATTGGAAAAACCCATCTTTCCACCTACCTCTAGCCTGGAAAAAGAGCCACCGGGGAAGCTGCTGGAGGAGCTTCCAAAACTCCAGAGTGTCATACAGCACTTCAAGAAGGAAGCTCTTCTCCCTGGCATGATGGACACTGCTCTGGCCACTGACTCACTCCCGGCTGGACTTCCTGGCCCCTTAGAATCTGTGCCATTGCCAACATCTCCTACATATCCTTTGTTGGAGCAATCCTTGTTTGGGCCACCCTCCCTGGCAAGGTTCTCTGGGCCACCTCATCCTTCAGTTTCAGGGCCCTTCTTGCCCTATATGCACCCCACATCCTATGCTTTACCTCAAGCTGCAGTGCAGAACCGCCTCAGACCTTTCTTGCCAGGCCAAGGCCTCCCTGTTTCCAATGCTGTGTGGAAGAAAAGCCAAGGTAAGCAACTGTCATTTTCCAACATATTTATGATTGTTATTTCTGCACTAAATTCAGTGTGCATTTCAGGCAGGTGTCAACCCTTTCAGAGTTGTGCATTAATGTCCAACATTTTGTTATGTTACTTTAGGGGGCTGTGCAGGAGATGTCACTGTAAGTCTTAGCTGCTTCAAACCAAACATTCATGTGTATTCAAGTCATGAACTTAATCTGGAGGAATACAGGGTGTATGACTGAATATTGTGGCACTTCACTTGATATCTCTTTCGTCTGACAAGAAACAGTTGATGAACAATTTTTGAGTATGATTTTTACAAGCCAGCTATGTATCCATTTAATTGTCTTGCCATCCAGCCTACATTTAACCACCTTAGAATATCATGGAATACTCTGTCAAATGTAGTGCTGAAATCAAGACATATTACATCCCCAATATTCCCATAATCTATTAAAGAGAACTTTCTTTACAAATCCATGCTGGTCTAACAGTCTCCATATTGTTTTAAAAGTACTTCCAGATCAATCATTTATGATCTGTCTAGAATCTTCCCAGCTATCAGTATCAGGCTGACTGGTCTGTAATTTCATGAATTTTCTTCTCCTCGTTTTGAAGACAGAGATGTTTGTTTTCCTCTTATTCTCTTGTACTTTACCAGTTCTCTACAATTTCTCAAAGATAATGCATACAAGATTCATCTAGACCATCAGCGAGTTCCTTCAGTAATCTTTTCAAGATGAGTAGTTAGATCTGCAATTGTTTGGAAGTCAGGAAACTGACCAGATGACTGGATTTTCTGTTTGTGCTTTCCATTGCAGGACACTCCTCCAACAGCCGCATTGTATGGGAACATACCCGAGGCCGTTATAATTGCTTACAGTGCCCCTATTCCACAGCCTCTCGGGAGGAGATGACCCAGCATACTGAAGACCACCGCAAAAATCCCTCTCCAACCAGCCGCTTGGATGGGGAAATGGGTGAGTGCCAGCAGGCAACAACCATGGGAAGCTTGGTAATGAAACTTTGGAAAGAGGAAGAAACTCAGCTGAGAGTCCTGTGTTTCTTTCTTGTTATGAAAGGACTTAATTCTAGGTCTCATATTTTATTTCTGTGATTAATGCAAACGTTCCTCAATCTGATCTACAGTCAGGAATTTAAAAGTCTGCACTGTAATACTGGGGGTACGTCCTCTGTCAGTTTTGACACAGAATGTATCAAATGTTACAAATATGTATGTACTAATTACTTTAGCTATTTCAGTAGTTTATGTTCTGATGGTTATACCTTCCTGATACCTTCAAAATTACTGAAATTATTTTAGATCTGCGAAGAGGGGGTGGGGCGTGTTGCCTGACATTTTAACTGAACCTTTCTACCTTAATCCTGAAAGAAATACACCCTTCTCTGTGAATCAGAACTTTTCCCTCCTGCCTGACATTTTAACTGAACCTTTCTACCTTAATCCTGAAAGAAATACACCCTTCTCTGTGAATCAGAACTTTTCCCTCCTGCCTGACATTTTAACTGAACCTTTCTACCTTAATCCTGAAAGAAATACACCCTTCTCTGTGAATCAGAACTTTTCCCTCCATTTTGAATCTTAGTTTAACTATATTACTTTAAACTGAGATTTTTTCCTCTTATTTCTTTTCTCTCACCCAGACTTTGGTGTTGCCCTTCCCTCATTCCACCCGAAGTTGACACCAGAAGTGGAGAACTCTCTCTTTTCCCCGCTGTGAGGTTTCCACTGGGCTGATCAAGATGACTTTATTGTTTCCTCCATGAAATACAGCACCTGCGTGGAGAGATTTATTTTTTTTATGTGTGCATTCCCCCCACAGGAGGCGTCTGGGGACAACGATGTGTCAAATTTAGGCCAGAATTCATCTGCATTCTAGCTTGTCCAGAATGAGCAAGTGCACTGATGCATTTTGCCTACTCCTGTTTGTTTCTAGGTACTCCCCTTGGCAGGAAAAGCCAAGCTTCTTAAGTTCCCAGTCTATGTTTTGTTGAGCATTGCATCTGAATCTAGTCCTTGGCTTCTTCCTCAAATAACAAGCAAATAAGACACTGCCCATTCTTGGCTTAAATCAGGTTTGTCAGGTAAAGAACGTCAGGGATTTTGAATCAAACATGACCACACAGACCACAGATAGTGCCCTGGTTTGCTTGCAGTTATTTCTCCTAGCAAGAGCAAGTACACATACAAGTCCACTTCTCCATTCTTCATAAGCCAGGTTTGGAAGACTTGGTCTTACGATATGTGCATCAGTTCCGCTCCCATCGACTTCCTCCCCATGCCTCCTTTCAGTTCATAAAAATGTGTTGACAACTGAGTACCATTTAAAAGGGAAAGGGAGTTGAAATTGATTATTGAAACTTAATTTAATCAACTTTCCTGTGCATTTCCTTCCTTTTTTTTCTATTTAAAACTGACTTTTCTCCTGCTTTTAAGATAAAACATCTTCCCTAACTCTGTACAGTCATGACTAGTTATGCTCAGGTTTGTAAGTGGGCTACTGCTGCTTTTGAAAAAAATAAATTGGAATTGTACAGAAAGGCATGTATTATGTCTGAGAATTTCTCGTCTTTAATGTAGAGGGAAGGCAGGAAAGGACCTCTGCTTATCCTCCTGCTCATTTATTACTAAGGCCCAAGAAGGATAACAGGCCACACCAGCCGACTCTCCATTTTATGGTCACCATACAGAAAGAGGAACTGAGGTTTTCAGTATTGCTCCAACTGAGCTTCCCTAAAGAGCATATTAGAATATCATGCTTGACTATACATGGTCTAACTTAAAATCTAACAGTTCAAACTAACCTCAGCGGTTACAATGATCTAGTGCCATCCTGCCAACTATAGGATACCAAGATAGGAACAAGCCCTTGGTGTTGTGCTGTCAGGAATAACTCCCAATGCCTTTTTTTTCAAAAAAAAAAAGTGCAGTTTTAATATAAACATTGATACATTTTTGGTCTCCATTAAATGGTTACTACAAAAATTTAAAAGTTCTTGTAAACCAATTGGAAGTTGTCATAATCCGAGAGAGACAAAGCAGAAACATAGAGTTATTGTGACCTTTTTGACTCTCCTTTTGGTCCTATTAAAAGGCCGTTGCAAGCAGACAGGGAGAAGCCAGACTTGAGTAGACTGCTGGGCAGAGAAGGGAGTTTCAAGCCTCATCTCAGAGAGGCGGGGATGGGTTCAGAGCTGTAACTATTAATCAATATTTGATCCCAGCAACTCAGAGAAGCACCAATTGTTTTCCAGATTCAATACCGTTCAAAAGCCCTGGTAACAAATCATGACCTTTTTTGATGAGCAGCAGAACTTTTAAATACTGGACTTGTCCACGTTCAGAATAGGGCAGTGTATCCAACAGCTCCTGACTGCTAGTGACCCCTTTGTAACTTTCACGGAGACTGCCTCTCCTGTTTACTTTTGAGATGACTGTTCTTGGTACATTCCTGTGAACAGTTCATCCTTGAAAGATGCGGGTCTTGGAGCAGGGAGGGAGTAGTTCTGTCAGCTTTTCAGTCCTGGAAGACAGCTTGGGCTTGGCTGTGTGCATCCCCTGGAGTTTGATGAAGAGGGCTTCCCTTGAGCAGAAGCAAAGAGGATGGCCCACATGTTGTGGCTAGGAGAGGAGGAACTGGATCTACCATGGCTGAAAACAACAGCATTTTTGGTGATCCAATCACTTCTTTGGTGGAGAGACTGATGCGCTGAGCAGCAGGCTCCTTGCTTCCTTTAAAAGAGGAGGAGAGATCCTGGGTAAGGAACCTGTTGCAAACTGCAGTAGAAAGTTGCAGAAAGACTGGTGCCAGGATGACTAGTGCCACCAAGGGAATGATGGAGAGGGAAAAAAACTCTGCACGGTACCTTAATACTGACCTTCAGGGTCACGGCACCCCACACGCTCCTCCAACAAGCTTTCTGTGCTAACTGATGTCTCAGAGTCTAGATTCTCCTCATCAGAACCACGCTGGTCCAGCTCAGGGAGACGGTATGTTATGTCTTCCCTAAAGAAGCGAGAGAAAAAGACAAGTTACAACATTCCATGGGAGCGCTAGAACAATTTCAAAGATGGTGACCGCAGTACAAGCCTGTCAACTTCAGTGCAATGCAGAGAGTAACTTTTCTGCCTCCCTTCCTTTCAAAGCCTTCGATCCACCAAGTCCAATATTACTATTGGAACCATGGGAAGGCTAATTATTATTGGGGTGGAATAAAAGTCTATTTATTTATTTTATTTACACAATTTATTAGCTGCCCATCTCGCTTTTCCAAGCAACTCTGGGTGGCGTACAACAGGGTTAAAAAAACAATAAAATACATTAAAAAGCATAAAAATATTAAAAAACAAAAACTAAAAAAATAATAACTGAAGCCACCTCACTAGATCATCCATCCCATGGGGTCCCTGGTCTTGAGGGATCTCTGGAAGCCCAACAGTGATGAGGCCAACCGCACCTCAGGGGGAAGAAGATTCCACACTGTGGGCACCACAGCAGAAAAGGCCTGCCACCTAGAACCTGTCAAACGTAGCTCCCTAGGTGTTGGAACCCATAACATGCCCTCTCTGCAGGATCTGGTAGGACAGGCAGATGAAATCAGGGAGAGGTGGTCCCTCAAGTAATCCGGACCCATGCCATGAAGGGCTTTAAAGGTCAACACCAGCACCCTGAATTGGATCCAGAAACAAACTGGTAACCAATGCAGCTCGCGAAGCAGAGGTGTGACGTGTGTTCTACCAGAAGCACACATAACTGCTCGTGCTGCTGCACTTTCTGGATACTCTTCAAGGGGAGTCCCACGTACAGCGCATTGCAGTAGTCTAACTGGAAGGCGACCAGGGCATGAGTGACTGTGAGAAGGTCCCCCGATCCAGAAACAGGCACAACTGGCGCACAATATGAAGTTGTACAAAGACCCTCCTAGTCACAACTGCTGTCTGCTCATCGAGCAGGAGTCATGTGTCCAGGAGGACCCCCAGATGGGCTTTGCTTGCCACTGGAAAAAAAAAAGGTGGGAGGGCAATCTGGGAGAGGCTTTCACACAGGCCTAAAAACAGATTTGAAAACCTTAGCTATTCTCTCGTGCTTTGCAATGCAGGCGCCATTTTTAAAAAAATATTTAGCAAAAATTAATTCTACCCGAAAAATAAGGACGCTAAAGCACAACTCCTCTTTGTAGGGGAAAAATTCCTAGAGTTGGCAGACAAATTCAGAGACAGTCGCTTCTCCTGTCTTGCAGGGGTAGGCCCTTACAGGCCATCACTCACTTCTCTTCCTTTATTGACTGTATCCGTTCCATCAACAGCTCCTTCTCCCTGTTGTCTGTTTCCTCCTCTTCTGGCAATAATCCAAGTTTAGGTGAGGTACTGCTTGCTCCTATAGTCTGTGGGCTCTTGCTCTGCAGGATAGAAAGCTATGTCATCCACCCTGGCTAAAGATACAGCAAATCATCATCCCTGGATAGCTTGGAGCCATGAAATACCACATTGGAACTCTTGCAATGGACTGTGCAGCAGCTTCTGCTCTGGGTGGACAATTTAGCTTTCCAGCGTTGAAATGAAATTATAATTTAACAAACCAGGAAAATAATGATGAAGCAGGGTAGCCCTGAACACAGGAAGCCTAGGCACGAGAGCCCTGCAGACAGATGCTTCGGAGCAAGCTGTCCTTTCTTAGTATTGAATCCATCTGGCAGGGCTGTGATGAATATAAAACAAGAAGAATCACTATTCTTTTTAACGTGCCAAACAATGCAGAAAAGCAGGTACCATTCCACAAACTGTCTTCACTCCCAGTACATTTTCCATGCCTTGGGATATTACAAAAGGTATTAAGGCTGCTTCCGAGCATGCGCACAGCAACGTCTTCCTTTGACCCAAGCCAACCAGCAGATTCTAAAAACAATATACCCCCACACACCTGGGTTAGTGTGAACAAATTCAAAGGGTTAAACATCCAAGGCCAAACTTGGATGCAGGAGTTATCTTTTTTTTCTAATAGTGAAGCACCGGTTAATATCCCTCTTGCAATCCACTACTCAACCCTGCAGTTAATTGTGAAAACAGAAAATGTGCACAGCTGTAAAACATGCAGAGTTTTGAAGTGAGGGGGGTTTGAAGCATTCAGAGTGTGAAGATGCTGTGAAAAGCCTTTTCTGGTCTTCAGCTAATGCTGGGAGAGACAGGGAGAGGAAGGGAGCAATGTTCCATGCACTGGGGGCACATCAGGGTGTTCACCTACCGGTGCTCCCTCGCGGGGAGAAGAAAAGGCAAGTTTTACTGGCCACAGCTAGAGAAAAGGAGAGATGAAGGGCACATTCATAGGAGGCAAAAACATTTTCTATGACTCTCCGTGGATAAAAATCAACGACTTAAAATACAAGATTATAAGAACATACAGTACATATCAAAGTTAAAAATTGTAAAAATGCTATACGCACTATTTAAACAACACTACTATATTTTCAAAGTTTTAAGACTAATACAATATTAAACTTATTGAATTATAAAGATGGGAGGAACTTAGGGATTGTTTGATCTGGCCTTTCATACTCCTCCACAGTCAAACAGATGAGTTAAACTGCAAGAGCAATTATTTCTACACAGCATGGTCTTTGGTTTCCTTAGGTAAGGAAATGAATGATTACTGTAACCCAACTGCTCAGTATTTCTTTTAAAGAATATACTCAACCCATATAAAATCAACCACTAAATATAAAAGAAACATAAAATATAAATATCAGAATGGTATCACCACGGCTCCCAAAGCACGCGTTGTCTGACAAAGTAACATAGCCAGCATTGTTAAAAGCTGCTAAAGAGGATCAACAGGGCTGCACTCCTGTATGTCTCTCCCCAAAGGAGACATTTATCAGGGTGAGCAAAGCTGCTTCAGGGCTAAACCCCAGTATAAACCCAAATGGAAATGGGCTAGATAATCTGTGTCATCCAGCAACTTGTTATCAAAAGAGGGGCACTGCGTTAATAACCTCTAAAATGAATCTGGTTAATCTCCTTTGACATGCTAAAGCTAAGCAAAATTGACAAGGATTGGGACTAAAGGTGGTTGAACAACACTCTTTAAACACTTTGCTCATCAATTGAAACCAATGCCATAAAACCCTGAGCAGAT